TTGAACTCGAAATGTTCACCCCAGAAGACGTTGTCGGTCCGGGCCTTGCTGGTGGTCCGGGCGTAGAGCATGTCGTCCAGGCACAACTCGCAGTAGTAACGTTTCTTGGGAGGAAGGTCCCGCGCCTCGATCACCCACAGCTTCAGGACGTTGTCCACCCGGCGGCTGTTGTCCTGTCCGGGGAGGTTGGAGGAGAAGGAGGGAGGTGAGGGAGGGGTTGAGGGGGGACAGAGAGGGGTGGGATGTGGGGCGAGGTGGTGGGATCGGTGGGGTGACCCCAGGGGACAACGCCAGCTGAGTGGTCATGAGGACCAGGGACCTCAGGGACGGGTGAGCCCAAGGGCCAGGGTGACCCCAGGGGACAGACGCACCAGGTCCATCCTCATCCACCAGTTGACCATCCTCATCCCTACCACCACCAGTTGACCATCCTCATCCCTACCACTTGACCATCTCCATCTCCACCAGTTGACCACCCCCTTCCATCCCAGATGACCATCCCCAACCCCAGCTGACCATCCCCATTCCCAGTTGACCATCCCCATCTGCACCAGTTGACCATCTCCATCCCCACCCGCTGACTGACCCCATCCCTACCAGTTTATCATCCCTACCAGTTGACCACCACCACCTCCCTCAGTTGACTACCACCACCTCCCGCAGCTGACCACCACCACCATCTGACCATCTGACCATCGCCATCCCTACCACTTGACCATCTCCAGCAAAGACGCACCGACCATCCCCATCTCCACCAGTTGACCATCCTCATCCCCACCAGTTGACCATCTCCGTTCCCACCAGTTGACCATCTCCAGTAATTGACCATCCTCATCTCCGCCAGTTGACCATCCCCATCCCCATTTGACCATTCCCAACAGCTGACCATCTCCTTCCCTACCAGTTGACCATCTCTACCAGTTGACCACCCCCATCCCTACCAGCTGATTATCCTCACCAGTTGACTATCTCCACCAGTTGACCATCTCCACCAGCAGACCATCCTCACCACCTGACCATCCCCACCCCTACCACTTGACCATCCCTACCACTTGACCATCCCTACCAGTTGACCATCCCCACCAGTTGACCATCCCCATCCCTACCAGTTGACCACCACCACCAGCTGACCATCCCCATCCCCACCAGTTGACCATCCCTATCTCCACCAGTTCACCACCACCACCACCACCACCACCTCCTCACCTTGTTGGGCTTCACCGCCCTCTGCAGATTCTCGATCCATTTGTCCCTCTCGGCGAAACATTTGGTCCCTGACGCCGTGGTCACCTGCCAGTGAAGGACATGATGATATGGTCACCAGATGCCACAGTGGTGGTCGAAGAGGAGCCAAAGAGAAAGTCTCAATGAGAAGGTCCCAAAGAGAAGACCCCAACAAGAAGGCCCCACCGAGAAGGTCCCAACGAGAAGACCTCATTGAGAAGGTCTCAATGAGAAGGCCCCAACAAGAAGACCCCAATGAGAAGACCCCAACGAGAAGACCCCAATGAGAAGACCCCATTGAGAAGTTCTCAATGAGAAGGTCCCAGTGAAAAGGTCCCACTGAGAAGACCCCACCAAGAAGACCCCATTGAGAAGACCCCAACGAGAAGACCCCATTGAGAAGGTCTCAACGAGAAGGTCTCAATGAAAAGGTCCCACTGAGAAGGTCCCACCAAGAAGACCCCACCAAGAAGACCCCATTGAGAAGACCCCAACGAGAAGACCCCATTGAGAAGTTCTCAATGAGAAGGTCCCAGTGAAAAGGTCCCACTGAGAAGGTCCCACCAAGAAGACCCCACCAAGAAGACCCCATTGAGAAGACCCCAACGAGAAGACCCCATTGAGAAGTTCTCAATGAGAAGGTCCCAGTGAAAAGGTCCCACTGAGAACAGTTCTCAATGAAGACCTCACCAAGAAGACCCCAACAAGAAGACCCCAACGAGAAGTTCTCAATGAGAAAGTCTCAACGAGAAGGTCTCAATGAAAAGGTCCCACTGAGAAGGTCCCACCAAGAAGACCCCACCAAGAAGACCCCATTGAGAAGACCCCAACGAGAAGACCCCAATGAGAAGACCCCATTGAGAAGTTCTCAACGAGAAGGTCCCAGTGAAAAGGTCCCACTGAGAAGGTCCCACCAAGAAGACCCCATTGAGAAGACCCCAACGAGAAGACCCCAACGAGAAGACCCCATTGAGAAGTTCTCAATGAGAAGGTCCCAGTGAAAAGGTGCCACTGAGAAGGTCCCACCAAGAAGACCTCACCAAGAAGACCCCAACAAGAAGACCCCAACGAGAAGTTCTCAATGAGAAAGTCTCAACGAGAAGTTCTCAATGAGAAAGTCTCAACGAGAAGGTCTCAATGAAAAGGTCCCACTGAGAAGGTCCCACCAAGAAGACCCTAACAAGAAGACCCCAACGAGAAGACCCCATTGAGAAGTTCTCAATGAGAAGGTCCCAGTGAAAAGGTCCCACTGAGAAGGTCCCACCAAGAAGACCTCACCAAGAAGACCCCGACAAGAAGACCCCACTTGGAAGACCCCAACGAGAAGTTCCCAACGAGAAAGCCTCAACGAGAAGACCCCAACGAAGAGGTCTCAATGAGAAGGTCCTACTGAGAAG